CGATAGCTAGAAGATATTGATGCCTCTGTCGAATTGGCGGTTTGATAAAGTATGTATATGTACCCAATATGTAAGCATTCTTCTTTGTTTGGAAGAAAAATGAACAAAAGAAATACCCAACACGAAGGATTTTTATCAATGTTGTCAGAACCGAATCGAAGTATAGGCCAGTATAGCGAACGGCTCGTATTTTACTGGTTTGACCGATATTAAACCGTTAAAAACCGCTAATGAACCAATAACTTATAAATAAAACAAGCATAATAACACACACTACACCATAAATTAAAAATAGAGTTCATTACTCTTAAACAAATTTAAAACATGGGTACTAAAGTTATATAGGCCAAATCCCACATAAATCACATTGTTCCCAAAATAAAGCAATAGAACAAGAATCTCAATTTTATAAATTTCTCTTCAAAATTCTACACATAATTCCTCTAGCATTTTGAATCACATGAATATTAATAAATACTTAACACATTGAAAATCACGATAATCTGTACATTTAATTAACCCAATCAGAGATCAATTTTTCGGTAATTGTTCTTTCAATACATTCCACCACAAAATTCAAAAAGATTCGGAATCAACAAAAATATAAAAGTTGTAAATTCCTAAGCAAAAGAAGCAACCGCCTGTATTCTATGGCCCATGGAAAATGGAAAATCAAAGTAAAAAACAGAAAGAATTAAAAGTCACGGGGAATTGGTCAATTAGGAAAACGATTGTGTGCCCGAAAAAAAAAATGGGAAATCAAATTTAAGAGGGACGGGGGAATAGAGAATCAATGCATTGGGTCGGGTATAAAATTTAATTTTTGTAATAACTCACTTTCCAACCACGTTTGGCCCAAGGTAATTAAGGAGAGTTTTTTTTACGGCTCTTATGTTGGAAACCGGTCAGGCGGTTTGAACGGCCCGAGCGGTTAACCGCTTTGGCCGCTTCCCAACTGCTATTTTCAGCCGCAGCGTTTTTTTGACTGATCCGAGCCGGTTTGGTGTCCAGGTGCCGGTTTTACCAGTCGAACCGACCAGTTCGGCTCGGTCTTGATAACAGTGTTTTTTATTCATGCATAATCGGTTTTTTAAAACGTGTTATAATTAGTTGTAAGGATAATGATTTTTTTTTTTTCATTTGGAGGAGCTCCAAACAATTACTATGTCAGGATACTTTGGGAGTGAAGGAGTTGTTTTCTTGGAACCAGGCATGCATTGTTAGGATGTTTAGGATTCTCCTACGCAATGTGGGACGACCTCGATTGTGTTGATTGAAAACTATAGGATTAAAAGTGCTAGTATTTGGAGTATACGTGCTAGCTAATTCCGGCGGTTCTTGGACTTGGAGGAGAATCCTCAAGCTGCGCTCTGTCATCCAACCTTTTCTGAGCTAGCAAGGCTGTCTTGTGCTAGGATAACTCTCCAATGATGAAATACTTAGTCACCGGGGTATGGGAAGCATTACTAATGAAGTGGCAAGAGGTTGTGTGCTATGGGGAAAAATTACTGATAGGGTTTGTCACCATAGATAAACTTTTGCAAATGAGGAAGTTACTAATGGGGTTTGTGTGCTATGCAAAATGTCTCCTGTAATTAGAGAACATTTATTCTTTCAATGTTCCTATGCTCAGGAAATGCTTAGTGATATGTGCTGCAAACTTTATCATGCAGGGGGACGTGGACTAGTACAGTTGCAGAAGCCAGTGTCCTCAGTAAGAAGATAACAACACCAAGGTGTATGGTTGGGTGAATTTGGTGTCATAGCGTGGCGAGTTTATGAAGGGAGAGATGCAGGCGTGTTCATGGTGAGGCTGAGAGAGCTCAACAAAGTGGCAGTGCTGGATTAGATGTATCTACGTGGTAACAAGCAAGCTATGTTGGTTGAGCTAAACTCTATAGGTGCTCCTTTTGTGCATTAAATGTGCAGTCATGTTACAACAACGGGGAGCAAAGAACTGTAATGAAATTGAAGTTGAAGTTGGAACACAATCAACAGAATTCCGGATTATGAGATGGCTCCCCAATCAAAGCTCGTTGAATCACCAATTGTGCATCACCATAGAATTTGACAACCAAAACCATATGTTTAAAACCAACACATAGTGTCTCGCAGATTAATTAACTCCATTTGAAGGGTCTCAATACCTAAGGAAAAAATTACAGTACATACATGCAAAGTCGACAAAACGTATAGCCACGATGACCGCCTCTCATGGACCCAACAAATCAAACAATTATAGCATAATGGGCCACCTGCCTCGCCATAGTATGAAAATCTACCAGTTGAAATTTCGTCACAATGAAACCAATAGAAACCGATGGATTAGGCACCAATGTATCTCTCATACAATTAGAAGGAAGTAAACAAAAGAAATCATAAGCAAATAAACCACAACATGCAAGGCAGGGTTAAATAAATCTAAACCATATTCTCAAGAAACTGTGACTTTATTGCATTGCGAAGAAAAGAGAGAAATCTTCTATGTTTAATGCGCAGACTAAGACATCGACAGAAGGAGAATCTACTGAAAAATCAAGTTATTTGGACAAATTGGCTTTTAATATGGCCTAGCACTCTAGATGAGAACTATATTTGAGTTTGGAAAAACCTCAATACTACGATTGATTTAAGCACAAATATGCACTTTTGCAAACATTATTCTATCTGTTTGTTTTCATTTAAAAAAATGTGTATGCTGATTATATAAGATATCCACTTCAAATTTCTTCAATAACTTCAATTATTAAGATGAACGGCGTTTTCAAAACAAGCATAGAAACCCTATTAAAAAAATGTAAGAATCGAAAATGAAATGAATTCTTATGAGCACACATAAAGGTTCATATGAACTAACCAATTGACTAAAAAAATATATGGGATTTTAGTAATCCAATTTTTTTGAAAAATAATATGGATTGTTCAAAGTTCAAACCATGGGCTGGTCGCAAGGATAATGATTGATTGTTTGTTGTTGGATGTTGGGGTAGAAATATGTAGTATCCTTAAATGCAACTTTGTTACATATAGTATTATTTTCGTGCAATAAATGTGACCAAGTGAAATATTATGATAAATATACGGATGATGACGATGATGAGTGCAAATTGCAAGTTGGAAAAGCATGTCAAAGTCAAAAACGTCCCGGCAAACATGCAAAAGGGCAACGAGGTTATGTCTATATGGAAGTTAAAGCTAGATTTTCGTGCTTTGTTGTAAAATTCAGACAAGCCCAGCCGTATAACGTCCTTGGAGAATTTATGGACTATGGTCTATGAAGAAATTTATTTATTTCTTTGTTTGTAAAGTTAGTGTATGAGATTATTTTTAAGACCACTAGAATTTATGGACTATGGTCTAGAGAAGCAATGAAATCCACTAGATAAACACATTCTTTCAAAACCACATTACATAATAGCCCTAAAACTAGGGTTTGAGGTTTAGAACCCCTAGTACCTTAGAAGACTACTTCATAAAGGAGGAAAGTAGATACATAAAAGAAATTGGGGAAGACTTGATATTGAGGAAGGTGACTCCTATATTCTAGCTCCTCCTCTTTACTTTAGCTTCTCTCTCTTCTCTCTCTCTAACCGGAAATTTCTATCTCAAAATCGGCTCTCTTAAATGGGGGAAGGGGATCTTCTATTTATAGACTTCAAAGGAAGGAGAAGTTCAGGCCAGGCAGGGTGAAGATTGCGGTCGCGATCTTCTTCCTTGAAACCATGATATGCCGTCACTGTCATTTTGGCCCTCAAACGCGAGGGGTTCGCAGGTTGACTTCATGCTCGCGATCCATGAAGCACGACCGCGAACTTCCTTGTGATCAGGGTGAATTGCGGTCGTGATCAGACTTGGGAAAATTTATGTTTTCCTCGACTAGCTTCATCATGAAGTTCACGCCCGAAACCTCCAGATTCGCGGCCACGATCTTCACCTTGAGTTCACATTCTGATTTCTCCACCGTGATCTTCTTCTCCAGGCTGTGATCATCAACTTAGTGCCCATTTTGCTACACTTGTACCCCTTTTCGTACCTAATTCGCATGGATTGTCTAAAGCACCCTAAAATCACATCATAATCAAATAGGAACGAAATAGGGATGCACTTGACGCTATTCTAACGATTTTGCACATGAAATAGCACGAAACAAACCTATACATGAAGAGTAAATACCACCAATTTGGATGTTATCAATAATAGAAGGAATTCATGAATGTATTATCGTTAAGGAATTAGTATGCATGTTCATCTAGAGGAAGCTACCTAAACAATAATGTGTTTGCCCCCGATCCAATCGAGGGATCAGTTTGATTATAGAAACATGAGTTCTCATACTTGTTTCATCTCTACTCAATTTACTTGCTTTAATCGTTTAATTACTTGTTTTAGTTTAAGTAGAAGAATTAGTCATCATTGGCAAATCTCAGCCCATCGTGTTAACTTGCCGTCACATACTTATTCAAATACACTTGATTAGTTCCCGAATAGTTTCTAACAAAAGACTCGTCCTATTCTAGACAAATCCAAAGGTGCTAAAACTAAAAGGGAAGTTGAATGGGACATTATAAGTTGTGAGTGGCATAGGGAGAGATTGGGTGGCTTGATTTGGAACAAACCGATTGGGAGCGAATCGAGGAAACAAACCCGTTCATTCCAATTGGTTGGGTGTTCGAGCTAGAATAAGACCATATAAGTTCCGACTCGGGCCAAGTAGCAGAAGTGGACTGGTCATGAGTAGAGAAGTTCTAACCGTAATTGAAACACAAGTAAATTCCCTTCTTTAATGACTCCAATGTTGGAAAAGAGAGTTTGTTGTTGAGGAAAATCAGAATGCAATCAGACGTGATTTGCTTCTGTTTGTTGTATTCTGTTTTATACAGGTTTACAATAGATACAGTTGAGAGAATGAAGGGTAGTGGAGAAGGTACAGGGGAAGTGGAGTTGTTACAGGGAGAGAGAGGGAGCCGATTAATATGGCACAACAAATAAAAAGAATATGGTTATTCTTTTTCTTCTCTAATACGCCCCCGCAAGATGGAGGAGGCGTCAACGACGCCAATCTTGGATCGAAGAAGTAGGAACCGAGTGGCCGGCAGAGGTTTGGTCAATGTGTCGGCCAGTTGCTGTGCAGTCGGTATATATCGGACACTGAGACGACCAGACTGCACAAGTTGTCTAACAAAATGATAGTCAAGAGCCAAATGCTTCATGCGAGAGTGGAAAACCGGATTGGCACTGAAGTAAGTGGCACCGAGATTATCAGAGAGGACAGTTGGTGGCCCTGGGAGGGGTTGATGAAGTTCTTGTAAGAGATTGCGAACCCATTCCAGCTCAGCCGTCGCATGGGCAATGGCACGATATTCAGCTTCTATGCTAGAGCGGGCCACCGTCCGTTGTTTCTGAGAACGCCAGAAGATGAGAGTGGAGCCCAGGTATACAAGATAGGCGGAGGTGGATGTGCGATCATCAGCATTCCCGGCCCAGTCAGAGTCAGCAAAGGCGGTGACATGCATAGGTAGAGAGGACCGCCGGATAGCCAGGCCATAGTAGATAGTACCACGAACATAGCGGAGTAGACGTTTGAGGCACTGCCAATGATGAGAGGAGGGAGAATGCATGTATTGGGAAAGCTTGTTGACGGAGAAGGCAATGTCAGGACGGGTGTAGACAAGATACTGCAGAGCACCCAAGACTTGTCTAAATCGTGTAGCATCAGTAGGACAGGTGCCATCCTGAAGCGACAAGGAGACAGAGGAGGCAAGGGGCGTGGATACAGGAGCAGCGTCAGACATATGAAAGCGGGCAAGAATGTCGGTCATATACTTGTGCTGAGAGAGAATATAGCTTGTAGCGGTTGGAATAACCTCGATCCCCAGAAAGTAGTTCACCTCACCCAGTGCTTTGAGGGAAAACTTGTTGGCAAGGGCGGACTGGAACTCCGTAAGAGCGGCATCATTATTGCCAGTGAGCAATAGATCATCAACATAGACCAGAAAGTATAGAATAATGCCTGAACGCTGATAGACAAAGAGTGATGCATCGGATTCAGTCTTGCGGAAGCCAAACTCAATGAGAAAAGAGCTGAGAGCGGTGTACCAGGCCCGAGGTGCTTGACGTAAGCCATAGATAGCACGACGAAGGCGACAAACATGGTTGGGATGTAATGGATCAACAAATCCGGGAGGTTGGACCATGTATACCTCATCATCCAGAGGGCCCTGAAGGAAAGCATTGTTGACATCAAACTGCTGAATAGGCCAATTCTGAGTGAGAGCAATGGTGAAAACCGTGCGTACAGTCACAGGTTTGACAACAGGACTGAATGTATCCTGAAAATCCACCCCGGGGCGTTGATGAAAACCCTTTGCAACGAGGCGGCATTTGAAGAGATTGATGGACCCATCGGAGTGATGCTTAATCCTGTACACCCATTTATTGCCCAGAACATTGTAGTGAGGTTGGCGTGGAACAAGATCCCACGTGTGATTGCGAAGAAGAGCAGTGTGCTCACGGCGAAGAGCAGAGTCCCATTCGGTATACTGCATGGCCTCCTTGACGGAGCGAGGCTCAAGGGGTGGGGCCCTGGTTGTAAAGAGAGCTGGAAATAGCCGTTTGGGCTTGTGAATACCAGACTGGGCCCTCGGGCGCATTTGATGAGGACGCTGCAGAGGCGGCGGAGCAGAAGGCCGCTGAGCAGTGGGCTCGGGCGAGGCTGGAGCCAGGAACTGGGCCGGCCCAGTATGAGCAGTAGCGGCGAGGTCAGCCACCGAGGCAGTGCAGCTGGGGGCTGGTAGTGGGCCAGAGGAGGACGAGGGCGGGGGCCCAGAACTGGAGGACGGGCCCAGCAGGGCACTGTGGGCTGGCAACGGGCCAGAGGAGGACGCGAGCGGGGGCCCAAGACCGATGGACGGGCGACTGGGCTGGGACGGCCCAGTGGCTGATGTCGTGTGTGAAGGGCCTGCGCCCAGGGAGGCCTGCAGCAGAGGAGCAGAGGGAGTGGCCACATGAAATGGAATTGTTGTAATTGTGGGCCCGGTGTCGGTGATCCAGGAGGCCACTAGAGACGAAGCTGCAGGAGGGTTAGACAAATAACCAGGAAAAGAAGTTTCAACAAAGTGAACATGACGTGAGAGGAAGACACGATGAGAGGTAGGATCGAAACATTTGTACGCACTCCGCTGAGGGCAGTAGCCAAGGAACAAGCATGGACGAGATCGAGGATCCAGTTTGTGAGAAGAGTATGGGCGGAGCCAGGGATAGCATAGACACCCAAATATGCGAAGTTTGTGATAATTGGGCACAATGTTAAAGAGAATAGTATAAGGGATTTGGCCACGTAAAGCAGAGGAAGGCAAACGATTGATCAAGTAGACGGCAGTAGAAAAAGCATAAGACCAAAATATCGTAGGTAAATGGGCATGATGCAGGAGAGTGATACCAGTTTCAACGATATGACGGTGTTTTCTTTCAGCGAGGCCATTATGCTCAGGCGTATGGGGAGGGGTAAGGAGATGACTGATCCCATGATCAAGAAGCGAGGAACGTAACTTCTGGAACTCCCCTCCACCATCGGAATAAAGACGACGAATGGTGGTGGAAAAATAATTTTCTACCATAGCACGAAAGGCAAGAAACACATCAAGAACATCAGATTTTCGTTTTAAAGGATAATACCATGTATAGCGGGAAAAATGATCAATGATAACCAAGTAATAACGAAAATCATCAATGGAGGTCACCGGAGCAGGCCCCCAAACATCCGTATACAATAAATCAAATGGTCTAGTGCTTGACAAAGAGGAAACACCAAAAGGAAGTTTGTGACTCTTATTTGAAAGACATGAATCGCAATGACTACTGACAGAAGAGGAAGCTACTAGCAAGGAATGTGTGCGAAGAAGACTGGAAAGAGAATGATAGGAAGGGTGACCAAGACGCGCATGCCATGAGGTAGAGGAGGTGCGGGTGGTGACAAGAGCAAGGTGAACAGCATCCATTTCATGCGGCAGCTCATAGACATCCCCATTATTTACTCCTTTCAGCAGAGGCGCTCCCGTGCGAAGATCCTTCACAACAAAACAATCAGCAAAAAATTCCACCGAAATGGGATTAGTACGACAAAGTTTTGCGACAGAGATAAGTTTACGCTTTATCGCAGGGGCACAAAGCACATCATTTAATTGTAAAGCAGAATTTGGGAGCTTGGATGACCCAATATGTGTGATTTTCAAACCTGTGCCATCACCGACGAGAATCTCATCAGGGCCATTGTAGTCCGAATAAAGAGATAAATTGCCAAGATCTGGGGTCACATGATGAGAAGCCGCATAATCGAGCAACCAAGGTGCAGAGGGTGTGGCACGAGTGATGGCATGATGTGCCTGAGACTGTCTAGCTTGATAGGCTTGGCGTTCTTGCGGAAATAACTTGAAACACTGACGTACGGAATGACCGGGGCGTTCGCAAAATTGGCATATGATAGTGGGCCGGCGCTGATTGAGGCTGGCAGGTGCGGCCTGCCCAGGAGAGGAGAACAAATGGGCTTGCGGGCTGGAGGCCCGTGGAGATTCAACATGGGCCTGTGGAGAATAGGCCCGCGAGGAGGAGGACGACGGCCCGTGCGGAGAGCCCCGTTGCTGGCGGCCGAAAGAAGGGTTTGCACCGCCGCCGCTAGAAGGTCTCTGTCCCTGGGAAAAAAAGGCAGTAGGAACAGGGGTTCGAATTTGCTCCTTAAGGTCAGATTCATACTCGACTAGGGAGTCAATCAGATCTTCCAGAACAAGACCTGGTCCCCTAGCACGAATGGCAGCAGCAAAGGCCCCGTATTCTTCACCAAGACCACGAAGGCAATAAACGATTAAATCGAGATCAGAGACAGGGGCGCCGATGAGAGCAAGCTCTGCCGCCGTACTTTTCAGATCATTTACGAACGCCAAGATGTCCCGATTACCCTTGGAGGTTTTGGCCAGTTTCCCCTTCAGATGAATGATGCGGGACTGAGCACTGCTGGCGTAGAGCTTCTCCAGAATCAGCCAGGCATCGCGTGATGTCGAAGCCCCGGAGACGAAGGAATAGATCCCTTCTGAGATGGAGCAGCGCAGAGCATGGAGGATCAACTTGTCTTGGCGGAACCAGAGCTGAAAGGATGGATTGGGCCTGGCCACGCCATTCTCTGTTATGGTGCGATCAGGTGCGACGGTGGAGCCGTCGATGTAGCCGAAGAGATCCAGACCGAGGAGCAGCGTTTCAAGCTGGGAGTGCCAAGAGGCGAAATTAGACGGAGTCAGCTTCAATGGAAGCTGAGCAGCAGGATTAAAAGTCACAATAGCAGGGACAGCAGACGAAATGGCGCTGTCGTGCACTTCGGAGTCACCAGACATGGTTTCGGGAGAGAAGAGAAGAGAGAAAAAAAAGAACAGGGAGCTCGAGGAGAAGGAAAAAAACAGGGTGTTTCACTCTGGAAAGGAGACGCAAGAGGAAGAAAGAGATTGGATCGACTAGCTGATCGTTGCTAGCTCTGATACCATGTTGGAAAAGAGAGTTTGTTGTTGAGGAAAATCAGAATGCAATCAGACGTGATTTGCTTCTGTTTGTTGTATTCTGTTTTATACAGGTTTACAATAGATACAGTTGAGAGAATGAAGGGTAGTGGAGAAGGTACAGGGGAAGTGGAGTTGTTACAGGGAGAGAGAGGGAGCCGATTAATATGGCACAACAAATAAAAAGAATATGGTTATTCTTTTTCTTCTCTAATATCCAAGAGGGATGACATTTGGGACATGAAGGAATATGTGAGATTTGGCTTTACAAGAGTGTGGAGGAGGCTGGATTATCCTCCAAGTGATGAAGAAAAATGGGAGTTGATGGTGTAACAGAATATTGGTCCCAAAACAAGAGATACACCATGAAAAGCAGAAGGTGTCAGAATCCATCGAAGAGCGTTGTATGGGGGAAGAGGAAACTTTGTTTTTTTGGCAGACAAACCAATTTGAGGAGAGTACATGTTACAAACCAAATTCCAAACAGACAAACCAAACAAACTAACATAACTGACCATACAACAGATTAGGGTGGTGAAGAGTATTTATAGAACTCTTCTCCTAATCTCAAACAGAAAACCAAACACTTTTTCCAAACCTACAAGGAAAAGACCAAAACAAAGCCCAAACACAAACCTAAACAAAATAGGCACAAAACACAAAACAAACCCAAATCAAATTCAAGTCATATTCTAACATTTTTTTTAGTGAGGGAAGAGGAAACTGCAAGCCCCTTATTCGAAGGAGACAAAACATCTTGTTTCGACCTCGATCTGTCATAATTAATTTCCGAAATTAAAAGGCTATGAGGATGGGATATGGGTACACGACAGAAAGGTGGTTAAGAAATCAAGATACTCGCAAGGAGAAGAAGACGCATATAGTGCATTCCTACCTGGAATGAGATGAACTGCAATGGTGGGAATGAACGGATCGAGCTTATTAAGATGCCGAGTTACTGATAACTTGTCCATTGTTCAAGGAAGAGTTGAAGAGGTGCCTCAGAAAAGCAACTAGTGTTGGTCACTATTGTTCTTCCCCAATTCTTCACTCCAATCCCTAAAATTTCTACATTAAAACCTTCTAATTCATGTCCTTCACTACCTTCACTACGATCACCGAAATTCTACTTCGAACCCCTCAAATTTCTATCACAAGTTAATATTGCTTGAACCATAATCGCACTTCGGTCAGTATTCTAAATTATCAAAATTGTATCTCATCCTATATTTTCCGAGGGCTCATGCCACCTCTATAAACTCGAGGCTTGCGGTTATGAATGCCAATCTCGCTTTCTGCTTTTCCAAATGATCCACTCTTCTTCGCTAGTCCAGGAAAGATTTTAACATGCAAGAGGGACGGAAAGTTTCTCTAAATACACAGATGAGATACAAGTAACGGCGCACGTGTATGGAGATAGCTTGTATTCATACAAACTGAGCTCTCAAGTTCATGGTTTTGCTCTTTCATGAAGCACAGACAAACAAATTTACCAACTGTCATATCACTACATCTTTGCATTTGAACCATAAGGAGGTTTCGTATGAGAAGAAAGCTCCTAAGACCACCATGGAGCATCTCCGGTTCTGAAATCGGTTTCTACCCATGGAACAAACACCACCTTGCCATCATCTACATCGGCATGAGCCAACGCCAACGACTGCAATCAAGAAAAAGACTCAATCAGTAAAGGAACATTTTGAGTTGAGAAAGGAGGGAAGATGAAGAGGGTCAACATAGCTAGATGGTTACCAAAGGAGCCGGTCCTCTAACCACTCTGCCTTGGTCATTGTACTGAGATCCATGGCAGGGGCAGATAAACTTGTTCTCAGCAGCATTAAATGGCACAACACAACCAAGATGCGTGCAAACGGCATTGATACCATATGTTGCAAGTGTTCTGTCTTTCTCCACCACAAGGTAAGTAGGATCTCCCTGAGAAAGAAAACCATCGAGTTGAAAAACATACAGGCAGCAGTGCAGTGACACATCCATTCACAGCATGCGTAATGAATGCAGAAGAGCTCAAACTGGGGGACAAATTTACCTTCAATCCTTGAGTAAGGGTTCGGTCTCCAGGGCCATGAGTCTTGAGCCATTCTTCAGCAATGACATCATTTCCAACGGCATCCTTAGCCACTGTACCACCACCAGCACCTCCAGTTCTGTTGAAAATGATTTCCAAATGAGTGGTAGCAAATGGAAGCCGGAATATATTCAGGCAAACAAAGAGAAGTAGCCAGGTACAGGAACCAGGAAAAACTACACCAAGCATTAACCAATCTACACAGCGTAGTCCAGGATTCAATTTTATCAAAATTGACATGAACGGCAAAAAAGTTTCTAGCTTTATAATCATGAGGCAACTGGCTACGTACACAATAGTAACAATCCAATAAGATAGCGCAACTCCACCAAAGCAAGACACAACTTCAAGAAAACAAACCAAGTCGAATTGGTTGGCAGATGAAATAGCTCACTGGGGCAATAAATCAAACACTTAAAAGGGATGAAAAAACCATATTACCCGGTGGGGACGAAGAAAGAAGCATACGGAACCAGCATCCCAGCAGTGGGGAGAGAGATAGCTCCCAACAGAAGCAAATTCATCAGCTCCCTTTTACCCATGTCAGGAACACGATCGGCTGGGATGCTAGTGGCCTGGCACGAGACCTTCATCACTCTGTCCCTTCCACCAGCCACATGGGTTCTCGCCGGCTTCACCAAGGCAGCATTTGCTGGAGCAAAAATGCCGCTTTTGCTCGAGCAGAGCTGGAATGGAACACCCAAAAAACTTAGTAACCATACTTACTCAACCAAATGTTCCGCGGAAGAGGCAAGTTGAGAAATTTGGGGAAGGTTGGACAAGATGATTGATTACTTACCTGGGAGTGTGTGGCAGGGGAAAGAGTGGAGGAAGCCATTCGAAGAGGGAAATGATGAGATTAGAAAGCTTCAAGCTGTAAGGGTGAAGATATTAAGCAGATGGAGGAAATTTTTGAAGAAAATTGGTGAAGGAAATCAGCACTGGTGGCGAGTTAAGGACGACCACAATTGGAGTACTGGATAAGGCAGGTTTGCTGCAGCCACAAGTTTTTTTTTTTTTTTTTCAGTCGAGGATCATGCTCCATTCCTCCCCTCCCCTGTTTTTGGGCTTTAGCGTTGGCCCATACTATATTCGTAAAACGAATGGGCATTGAGGAGAAAATGATGAAGCAAAATGAACAGGCCCAACAAAGGGGTTAGTGCCATATTCATCTTTTCTTTGCAACACTTGGGCTTCCTTTCCAGCATGAACTGGTCACGGCTCGATACATTTTTTTTTATACCAAAGATTGATTATATTACCGGAAAAAATAGCGAGATACAAAAGATCAGATGATCGAAAACAACCAAAAAATCAAAATCAAACCCTACTAAAGAAGAAAATAAAGAAAGGACTTTTCGTACCATCATGGGTAATTATAATTTCAGCCTACAAAGCGAGCACTAAAACGTCCAAAAGTGTCACGCAAAATCATGATTTCCTCCAGAACCGTAGCAGTACCACTAACCTGCGAACTGTTCATTCATGATTTTATCAATAACCACTTTTGTGTCTCTCACAAAGACCAACGACGTCTATTGTCGATCAAGACGCCATCGAATTGCATCACGAAAAACCCTCTTCCAACAAAATTTTCATAAACATAACAATGCTAGAAAATTTGTTAGGAAAGAAAACCCCTAATTAAAATATGTCGGTTATAGCATGGCGTGAAAGGGTGCCCCTCATCATTCACTTGCATGCTTCTTTTCTTTGTGCTTCCTAGCGTGCAAACCTGAGCTCCCCCCAGCTTCTCCTTTTCCTTTTAGTCTGATCATCCCTTCTGCCATTCCATTCCCTGCTGCAAGTTCTTTTCTATACAAAAAGAAACCAGCAAAAAGGGTACGTGGCCTCTGTATATGAAGATAGATAGATGCTTGTTGCTTTGCTTGTTCGTCTTTCGATGTGTGCAAAAATATATACATACAGAGAGAGGTTCTTTAACCTTTCACTTGCACCAATACACAGAGACAGAAAAGAGAGAATCCCCATTTGTTTCCCGTCAAAGAAAGGAAAGAAAAGGGAAGGGAAAAGAAGAATCCCAAAACCAGTAAATAAAAGAAGATTAAAGGGAAAGGAAAGGTGAAAATTAATTAAACAGATATGATATAAACAAATGGTGAACAAAGGCAAAGGGAGAGATGCCTAGGATCCGGATGAACTGTGGAGCAAGCTTCAAGCAATAATTGTAGTTTATATTGGAACGTTCTTCAAGGGAACATTTGGAAGTTATATATGAACACTACTTATTTCAAAGGCTCTTTGGCTTCTTCTTAATTATTAAGCCAAACCAGGGGGTCGGTTAGCATGCCAACCCCCTTTAGGGGTTGGAAAAATGACACCCCCTAGTATATTAAATACAACTATAATTAATACACAATAATTAATACACACATTAAATACACATTAGGAATTAAATGTACCATATTAATTAGGAATTCTCTCACTATTAAATACACATTAGGAATTAAATACACACATTAAATACACATTAGGAATTCTCTCACTATATTTGATTTTTCCTTTTTCAGCAGTCTCCGACCACCAGACTTCCTCCGACCGCCACACTTCTCCGGTGAAAATCCCATCGGCAGACTCCCTCCGACCACCTCCAAAAAATATACCACTGCACTGATACGGTGTACCACTGTACTGGTAGATATGCCACTGCACTGATACATTGTACCACTGTACTGGTAGATATACCACTGTACTGGTACGTTGTACCACTGTAGTGGTACAAATACCATTAAAGTGGTAATTAATGTGGTGTATTTAATGCTTACTTTGTATTTAATAACAGAACATTTATTATGTTTACTTTCATTAATACTTGTTAATAATTAATGAAAAATTGACCAATTAAAAGGGGGGTGTCAAAAAACCAACCCCTTAAGGGGTTAGCATGCTAACCCGTTCCCCCAAACCAGCTTCATGTCTGCTCCCCAACTTCCGAACGCGACCTCGATCTGTATATCGTGACTCGCGAGGATTTGTTTTATGAATTTCAATATCCTTGTCTTTAAAGCGATCACCCACGGGTGTATTGGTTCGAAATGGAATCCTATTTAGCATCCGATGAAATCTTCTACATGTATGTGGATTAGATTGGTGTATAGAGTATAACTATACTTAGTGAGATATTTTTATTTGGATCTAAATTAAATCGAGTTTGAGGTATGATACTATAATGTACTTTTAAAAAATAAACCACAGCTCTCGATTTAACCAAAACCAGAGGATCCGGTTAATAAAAAATAATAATTGACAATTTTGATTCATCGAAATGCAACAAAGACACCCAACGATCAGATCACTTGGAGCTAGTCAATAGCGAATCCACAACATAGCTGGAACACCCGTAAAATTTGGAGCAAAATATTGACCCTATGGTAGTAGTTTGAGTCTAGGGGAAAAAATATATGGTAGTTCCTATCATTTGAACAAGTGACATTACTATTATTAATGTGAGCATGTTTCTCATTAGACTACAGTTCAATTGAGCACTTCTACTATGCTATATAGTATTGGTGCTTTAATGTACAACTCAAAGTTGTACCATAACATTAAATGTATAAGTTTAGGTTGTACCATAAAGCAATTTGTACCATTATGTTATGGTACAACTTTACAACTTGAAATTGTACCATCACATAAAGGTACAAGTTCAATTTGTACCATAAAAGAATTTGTACAAAAAGTATAGGTACAATATGATGTTGTACCATAATGTAAATGTACAATTTTAAGTTGTACCATAAAGGCAAAAACCTATAGCACCAATACTATATAGCATTGTAAAATTTCTCCAGTTCAATTACATACATAAGACAATTATAATATAAAATAAAAGTTCAATTACACTCTAATTCTCCAATTTTCCTTTCAAATCCTAAACCTTAAACTTTAATGGGATACCCTTACATACCGTTTGGTATAAATGAATTTCATAAGTTTTGGAAATGCAACATTTTTGTGTTTGGTATTTAAAGGAATTCATTTTCAATTGTAAATTTTGAATTTTGGAATTGGAACTAGTTATAGCAATTTCGAGGAATTGAGATGGAATTTCCAAATGAATTCCACAAGTTTTTACTAATTATAACAGAATGACATAATTATCCTCTTTTATTAACTAAATTACTTATACTTATGACATACTAAACACAAGAATTCATTTGACAATGAATTCTACACTGCAATTTATTTTATTTCTAAAGATTTGAATATGACATATCAAACACAAGATTTCATTTGACAATGAATTCTACACGGTAATTCATTTTACAATGAAATGAATTCTTGATTCATATGAACCAAACGATATGTTAAGATATAAGAAGGAAAGAGAACAAGAGCTTCAGCCTTTTCTTCTCTCCCTTTTCGTTTCTCTTTGGTGGGAAGTAGTGAATGGATTGTCATTTCAAGGACATGATGAATCTACATCTTCAAGTAAAGGTAACTTCCTTCAACTATTATATTTTCAATCTATTGGTACAGAAGATGTACAAAGTGTGGTTGGAGGCAATGTAGTCTAAATCGCAGTTTAAAACTTAAAAACTTACGCTTTTCACTTCTAGTTCACCAAAACGTTTCAAAGTAGAATCACGCTTTTCACTAATAATTATAGTCAAAATCTATGCTTTAAAGCTTAAAAGCTTATGTTTTTACGCTTCTAGGTAACAAAAATGATTCTACGTAGAACCATGATTTTGACTGCATTGGTTGGGAGGAAAACTCCAAAAATCTCCAACTAACCTCTCCAAATATTGAAAGAGATCTTGTTCATGTCATGACTTGTGAAACAACTAATAAAATCATTAAAGATATTGGATGTGATTTTTTCATTTTTAGGTTACAATAAGAACAAGTTTCGAAATTAAATAGGCAATGAGTTTGTGAATTATTGTTTAGTAGGATATATGGGATCAGACCAGCTAACTAAGGGGGTCCATTAGGCACATGACTAAGTCGATCTTAGCCCTCCAAGCTCATTTAAATCTAATGGCTCCAATTAATGTAGTTTAATAAAGGGTAATATAGTAATTTCATTTTATTATTTAATTTATTCATTAAAAAATTTACGTAACCTTATCCCTTCCGCGAGTCCCTCTCCGGTCGAGGGATATTTCGTGCCCAATGCCGTGGAGATTTTGGTGAAAGAATGTCCCCATGGCGGGGAAGGGAGAGAGAGAGAGTCGGCGTTGATTTTCCGGCGGCGGCGAAGAAAATTTTCTGGTGATAGTGTCGGTTTTGTTATGTTTGTCAGAATATTTTGTAATTTTGTAAGTCTGGTTTGTAATTTTTTATCAATTCGTTTGTATCATTTATTATTCTAGTTTTTCATTTTTATCTATTATGTTTGTAATGTTTATATACCTAATTTATATATATGTATATATATGGTGGCGTCTTCGGTGCACTCACTTTTTTGGGTGCATTCAGTGCACTCACTTCATAACCGTCATTTTAAACATGCAATTTATGTCAAAATGATGTCAATCATCACTTATGATGTGATGAACAATAACGCACATGAATTTGCACAAAAACCATTAAAGATTTACTTTAATTTGAAGGATTTATAGTTTAGAGATTTGGGGTTAGGGTTAGGGTTTACAATTTGGGGTTTAGGGATAGAAATCAAACTTGAAGGTCTAGGGCTTAGGGTAATCGACTAATTAGTTGTTGTCATATGTTATATCATCATATTACACTAATTCTACAAATTAAAATTCAAAATCCGACACCTTAAGTCTAGTTTTTGAGTTGGGTGCATTGAACGCACTCATTTTTGTGAGTGCACCGAAGTAGTCACCTTATATATATTGTAATTAGTAATACTAATATTTGTGTTTCTAGTTTGTATACTTTATGTTATTATTTGTATATTTTGTATTCATTGATTTGTAATACTATTTTATCAATTTGTATTGTAAGTAGTATTATTTTGTACTGTCAGTATGCTTTGTAATGTTTTGTTGGTTTAAATTGTAATATTTGTAAGTTTTGTTATTTTGTAATGTTTGTCGTTTTCTTTTATAATGTGTCTAAGCTTTGTTATTTTTGT